CTGCTCTTGCAGCAGTGGGTGAAAACTGGGTGTACAGCTAAGGCAGTTTCAGCATGATATTGCTACTTCATGACTGCTTGTAACACTGACCATGCTTTGTGGATGAGGTATATTACTACAGTCTGAGGTGTAGCTGTGACTTGGAATACTTTAGAAGTAATAAAAATCACTTCAAGGAATAAAAGGAATAAAAATCTCTCAGATAAAAAAAAAACCTTTTCTTCTGAATTTTTTTAAAAATTTTCTCTTTGACCAATCCCCTGTTTTCACTTTCTCTGTGCTAAATCCTGTTTCTCTCTGCTACATGGACTTTTGTGAGGGGCTTTATCCTCTATGCAATGAATGGGCAAAGAAGGTATCTATATTACTTACTAAGGACCTTGCTTGCAGCTGCAACCAGATCATAGGTCTTGGAATCATCGTAAATTATTCTGACAAGAAATTGTCCTTCTTCATCCAGCTGTGCCTCCTTCCTAAAAAGAAAATAGTAGAAAATCTTGTTGGTTGAGGGAGAAACACCATATCAACAAATCAATTATATGTTGTTCGATATTAGTCTTTGAAATAAAGTAAGTTTGCAGGTACTACCTTTAAGAAGTTACTTAAGACAGAAAATTGGAAATAAATCTGTTGCATATCTCAGAGCCATTAAGGTACAATACAAATATTTCAGATCATGTGTGTTCTAAAAATACTAATGAGCTGTGAGAAAATAAACATGATTTTTCACTAGAGCTTCACAAAGAAGTTGCTGAACCAATAAAGACATAATTCACATTTCAAAATACCAGGTTATCCAATAATCTAGCCCAAGAGGGGCTATTTAAACACTTTTTAAGCAAATTTTTTCATTCCTTCCAATTTTGATTATACGTCATTTACAAAAGGCATGTCATGTTTTTAACAACCAGTTGTACATACCTTCAAAGAGGAATCTAAAATCCAGATGTAAGTACCTAATCAAATACCTTTTCTTCAGAATTCTGCACATGCCCAGTAGATAGGAAAAAAAAAAAGGATGCTAGGATTTGTAAGGCCTTTCTCGCATTGCATGTCAGTACTCCATGAGTGAAGTGTCACCACCTAGCTAAAGCATGATAAAAATATACATTTCTTCACTAAAGGAAACAATTTTCAACTCCAGGTTTAAGACAAGACTCATGCATATGTCACATGCACACTTACTACTGCTGCTAAGCGAAAGTACAAAACAAAACGACTCCTTTGTTTTTCAGGATTATTTATTATTCTTTTCAGCTAGAATATTGAGTCAGCAGCTTGTCCAAAAGGCAGCACAACTCTGTAGGCTAGTTTATTTTTCCTGAGAAAAAAACAAGTTAATATCCCTAGGCAATGAACTGTTGTGCCTTCCAAACTTTGCATTTCACAGGAGTCACTAGGGAGGGCCCACCAATGTCTTCCTCCCTGTTTTACGCCATGTACTTAACACAGAAGCCAGGCCTCCTCTTTGGAGGAGGACGCAGAGCACCTTCATGGGCAGGCGAGGGAGCCTTAAGGGCCAAGTGCCCCGTGTGGCTGCTCCTGCCACGCATACAGCATGCCAATGGACATGGCCACGACTCCGCCCTGTTGCAAGTGCAAGTCACATTCTGTATTTGCTTCTCATCCCCTGCACATCCTCCTTCAGCAGAGAGAGGGGGTCGTGCAGGGGGCACACTGTAGTCTCTGATGAAGACACACTCTGTTTGTTGACATCCTCATTTGGCAAAGGAGCACAGCCTCCTTTTTCAGTATTTTTTTATAGTAGCTGTTCACCCTCTGTGATCTCACCTATAATGACTCCCTATAGAGACAATGTGCTTTGCAGAAATAGTGACAAAAGAGGAGACATTTGTAGGTGCTCATGCTCTAATTTATGTGCTTAGAATATATTTTGGCTCAGCAAAATTAACACGATCACGGCATCAACAGCACCTTTGCAGGTGGAGGGTCACAGCTACCTTATTAAAAAGAAAAGATACCCTTTCATCTAAAGGCAGCTCTATGCTGCAGAAAATTGCAGAAAGACAAAAGAAAGGCAAAGCGATAAGAAAGCCTAGAAGAGAATCACACCTGCTTAGGTCACATCAAAAAAAAAAATAGTACAGGGAGTTGTTCTTCAGAAAAAGCCTTAGAATCAGAATATCAAAAAAGCAGATGATGAGGTAGTTTTTTATAAAAAGCTAAGCATGTGTCATGAAAATCAAGACATTCATCAACTCAGGACTGGGATAATTATTTTTCTAACACACAGATGAAAGAGAACCATAAGCAAAAAATTATTTACTAGCATTATGGTAAAAAGGGCTTTTACCAGAGTAGGACAGAAATGTTCCTTAGATAAGGCTGAAACATACAATTTAAGAGCAATTATTTCTAACTGCTCTAATGATCATCAGAGGAATTATAAACCTATAAAAAGTGGATTCTAAATTGCTATGTAAAATCCTACATCCCCTTTTACATCACAACCTTTGTCTCCATCATTGTAACATGATCAACCATCAAACAAAACAAAAGTCTTTGAATGAACTTAGATTCTAATTTTCCAGAGCTGGCATATTTTTTTTTTAATTAAATAACACAAAATAATAATGCCTACACAACAATTCAAGCATTTACAGATGTAGAGGAATTATCCAGCCATACAAACAGAAACATTTTCTGTGTCACTCGAAGAAGTGAGAGGTCTGAGAATTAAATACTCTTGTTCATTTTCCAACTGCTAGATGGCAAATGGTACTGCTGATAGGGCCTGATTTCAATCTCATATGGCAGTATTCTATCGACCTAAATGAAATTACATGTCATTTAACCCTCCAATTAGTAATCATCAGTCTTTGATAATCTGTTCACTTATCAATGGAAGTCTGGAACCCATTATTTTCTTTTTCCTCTTCATCTTCCTCTAGTCTTGCTGATCACATTCTTACTCTGACCAAAAATTAAACTACATTGTTTTTATATTTCAAATATATAGATCTACTTTTTTTTTTATAATTCATTGTGTTGTAACTGCTACTTGATCTAAACATTTTTATGTTTGCTCTATGAATGGGCATAATGAGCTACAAACAAACTAAGCCATTTTCCCAAAGTAATATGACAAGGCTATAGGGGAGGTGAGACTAAACATCCTACATAAAAGGAACATAATTCTCTATTCAATTGCATGAAAAACATTAATAAATTTAATGTCTGGGGTTTTTTTCTTAAACACTTTGGGAACTTCCCAAAAGGAATGAAAGAACGGCCACTAGCAAGCGGGGCAAAACTGGCTGCTCAGAGATACAAAATAATAAAGTACAGTATTATCTTTTTTAGATAATCAATTACAATAATTTATTCATTACTTGAAGAAACAGTATATTTATAAAGAAGCAAGCAGAAATGGTATGCATACACACAGTTTCCTACACCACTCTTGTTTTCATACTCCAAAACAGTACTTCTGGTCCTCTTCCCCTCTTCAGTCAGGGACAAGAAGGTAGAGTTTACATTTCCTAAGAACTGAACTGGAATTACTACAAGAAAGAAAACCATCTTGAATCTTTGATTCTCATAACATGATATGTAACTGGAAGTCAGATACAGTTTGGAGGGAAGTTTGCAAAGAGTGAATAAACTTTCCCACATCTCTGATACATGCTGTGGTTTTTTTTAGTCTCTCTGATCTCAGCCAAACCACAAAGGATAACACACACATCTGGAAAAGCAATGAACATCCTCAAAAATGCTGCATACTTGCACAATTCAGTAGACACAGTTTTTGTGTGTGAGAATTTTGTTTTATTACAAATTGACCCAGTTTGATGATGCTGGTATGTCTTTCAAAACTTCTTACATTTCTTTCCAATTACATTGTCAGGAATTTTTCCTGTTTCCTTTTCTGTACCAAGCCATGCTTCCTTTTTTCTTATTTTAATTGTCTTTAGTTTACTTCATCAAAGTTTTTATTCAATGCTTGCAGTTTCTCTGAGCCACAACTTTTTTAAATCACCACTGGTTACTTCAATGCCTATTCCATTTAGATTATTTTAGCTATTTTGTTTTTCTCCAGTTTTCCCTAGATGCTTTGGATCACTCCATAGCCATCTTCTCTGCAGCCTTAATGACATATTTCCCATTAAAATAACTTTATTGATAAAGTGAAACAAAAAATAGTTCAATTAGCAATCACACCTGCATTCCTTGGATATAATTTTCTGGGGTGAAACTCACTTCTCTAAGGCTTCACTCCCCCTCAGTATTAGCAGTCTTGCTGGGTGTTCCAGTAGTACAGAAAAAGGACCCAGTCTTGTACTGTAGGCTAATACTCCAAAACAAAAAGAACCCATTCCTGCCTTTAGTTAATTTTATTTTAAAAAGATAGAGAAAAATATGTTTAAAAAAATGGAATCCAACAAAAGTCAACCTAATTCTTGAGATTTTTTTTCTACAAAATGTGTCAAATTAAATATTTACTTCTGCAGGGGACTACACTCCTCACTCAAAACCCTGTGGGCAAAAATCTCTTTGATCGTCCTACAAATATGGAAAATCCTATGACAATCCTATGACAAATCCTATGGCAAATCCTATTACAATCTAAACTTGTGTCAAAAGATCAACTGCCTTTTTAAAGCCCGTGCTTGAAAATTATTAAATTGCAGAACTTCTTTTTCCTTTCCTGGACAATTCCTTCCCCATATCTCTCAGCTCTGTTGTGGTACATTCCAATAATTTAGCTAGATGGTGAGCTGAAATGTAATTCAGTTAGGTATTTGTTTTTCTGGGTGATTTTTCTGCGGGATGGATTTCCCTGTCTGCTTCGTCACCTGGTCACAGAAGTTGCTGTGCGTACGGAACAACATGTAGCCAGACAGGGTGGGTGAGGGCAGGATGGGAAGTTCAGTGAAGCCAGCTGAAGCCTTCCCCCTGCCTCCAGTGAGCTGGGTCTGCAGCTTCTGAAGCCTTTCTGCCTCCCTCAGTAACCCAACAGCAGTGAGAACTTCCAAAAGTCTTTCTCTCTGAAATACTTCATTAGCCTTAAGACTACATACGATGGGGAAATGCTGCTGTACGCTTACCCAAAATGGCCAACGCGATGTGAAAACACTCGTTTTTACAGAGGTACCTGTCCTTCAGCAAGTCTACAAAATGACAGGTCCTCTAATAAACTTGTTTCAGAGAGCAAAGCATCACAGATATCAGCATCAGAGAGGCTGACCATGACGTGACCACCAGCAGTCTAGGACACAGGACAAAGCCATTGAATTGTTCATTCAGGTGAACAGGCGATCCCTAAATTGATTCCTCATGGCTGTGGTTTTCTTACCTAATTACATGACCCCTACCTGATCTATCAAACCTGCCTGCTTTTACATGAAGGAGCTGGTTCTACAACAAGAGTGATATGAAGAAATACATGATAGTGTTGTGAAAACTGTTACAACTATACTAAAAGTGAGGCTGCTTTGCAGAGCTTCTGTAGTTTGCTGTCCATCAACACTAATTCCTCCAATGTGACATAGCTGGTTCTAGCTCCATAATCTATGAGTACCATGGATGAAAACAAACCTGCCTGTGTGGAGCAACTAGACATGGCTACAAACCTGAGCATGTGAACTTTAAAAGACCAGAAGGCTGCAACCGTTCTCATCTGAACAGCTTCTCTCTCCTGACTGACAGATGGTTCTCGAGCTGGGATTAGAACCGCAATAAAACCTGGCATCCTCAGGTGCAAAGAATTTACATTTGGCTGACCATATTTCATAGAAAACCTCATAATCCATAAAAAAACTTTATGAATCCACAAAAAAAAAACAACAAACCAACGAAAAAACTGGCATTTCCCTTGAAATGTTTTGCTGCAATCTTTATTCCCAGTTTTTGACCAGATAAAATTATGGGAGTAAATTAGCATAGCCCTAATGTTTTCTGCAGATTGTGGTGTTTGATCACAAAAGCATGAACAGCAGAGACATGTTGGTGGCTTTCTTAAGGGCTTGACTGGAAACGAGCCAAAGGCAACAAGCTCTGGCAAACTCCCAAGCCCTGATTAATTCTTTAGTGAAGTAGCAGCACTACAGTAGCAAACTTTTAACTTTTATATAGCCTTTCTTTCAAAATAACTTCTAAGTGAAATAGAACAGAATTTACAATTAATGACTTATTTACATTTCTAGAGACAAAAGAAGGGTGTGCTTTGCTCCCCAGTAAGTTCAAACCACTAAAAAAATCCAGGATTTTAATGCTCTTGCCCAAACTGACTCCCGTTGCCAGCACATGGGATGTGATATTTCATGGTTCAAAACTCACATCCTATGTTACGCCTGTCCTAACTGCTATGGTCTGGCAGCCCTTTTTATTTACTCTAGACTAATTATGAATGATTACACAGAGCTATTCGAATTGTGGGAAACAAAGATTTCAGCCCAGACTTTTCTAAAATGCCTTTGTTTTCCTCCAGAATGTTTATATTATCCAGGTTAATGTGAGGAAGTTTACTTGGGATAAAAGAACCATAACCACTGCACCGTGGAAAATAACACAGCTATATAGAGGCCATTTTTCACATACAGGTTTGACCTTGAAATCAATGGAAAAATTCCTGTTGAGTAGATCAAAGCAGGATCAAGTCTTAAAGCAGCCTTTCCTCCATCAGTCATGCTAACACCTCCCAGACTGCTGTTGGTCTAGCAGCACAGAATAGCATTACAGATGATACTAGGTGTGTACAATGGGCCCTTTGATAAACTTTCCCATTGTGAAACTAGTTTAGCATTTGAAAACACACTACTAATGTTCAAAGGTAATGTTAATAATTCACAGAGATGGATGAAATGTCAAGTACTGACAAACATTCCAACTAAACCATTCTTAAAATCAGAATCGATCTTGCATTGCAGATTTTTAAACCATCGATTACACACATTTTTATTTCACAGAGGAAATATTTTCTACTTTGATGTAGTAAGGATTCCTTTTGCTATCGTTAGAGATTTTACAGATGACATAGTTGGACTAGATGCTACGTCAGGTTAGTCTTACTTCTATAGCTCATTCTGCACAAGGTGTATTTTAATGTAGTTTTGCAGTCAGATTGTAGCATTTAAAGGAAACTTGAATAAATCATAATCAAGAAGAAGGTTGCTGCTGTCAGAACTTTTTTATTCACGTGAAGTAGCACTTGCTATCCTGTCTCTGTAGTCAGTCAGAAAGCTGGAACTAAAAAAAAAAAATTCTTACAGAAAAAGAACCCTTCCCATTAGAGACTTTTGCATGCAGTAAGTATTGAGAAAATGTAATGGATACAAATAGGAAAAAAGGAAGAAACAAGACTGCACGGAACCCGACTCTGTATCCTGAACATACACAGGCTTCTCTGAGATACAGCAACACTATTTTTTAGAAGCTTCTGGTATCACTTTAACAGATCATCTAGCGTCCCAAAAGCACAACTGGATCTCGTCCTACCAAAACTCCGGTCCGAAGTCCATGCCCTGGGTGTGTCACCTTGAACACACCACAACAGCTAGTTCCAAAGATCACCTCTAGGACTTCTTCCATGACAGGCATTGTTTCTGTTGGGACTTTTGCCACCATTGTGCTTAACTATTCTTGGTGTACCAATGATGGAAAAAGTGCTTGTTAAATTGAAGAGACCAGTCAAAACAATCTTAATGACAAAATAACACTACTGCACTTAGAAACCCAGCGTGGTTCTGATCTCGCTGATAGGAGCACATCAAGTTTAATTTTGTTCCAAGTAACACTATTAAACAGAACTACATGTGTCAGAACTAAAGATGGCAGCAGTGAAACCAGAATCATCATCTTTGCATCTTTTACATTAAAATGGCAAACTCATTGATCATTATATTACTTCACAGACGGTTCGTGTTTTCAAAATGCTTCTCATCTTTTTTTCATGTCTTTCACAAAGATGCTCTGCTAAAAATTATTAAAAATATTGAACTACTCTTCTCACTTCTCCCAAAAGAAAAAAAAAGAAAATAGACTTGTACGTGTTGTGGATGGTCCAGAGATATTTTAAAACACTCAGCTGGGAAAAACATAAATTATATTAAGTTACAAAATTAAATAAAAATGGGAATCTGTCCAGGAAAATGACGTTCTGGGTAAAGTAAATAGATGTATTTATAAACTTCAGAGCTTTGAGCTATTTCCCAGTTTTACAGGCTGGATATGAGAGTGTTTAATGTAGGTTTTCAAAACAAGATAATCCTAGATGATACAGTTAACAAATGTACAAGTTCTTTGCTACTACTCCAAATACTAAAAATGTTGTCAAAACCAGAAAGCTAGTATTGTTTTACTTCCTTTTACATAAGTGGACTAAAAGGAATGGTATTTACAAAATACTCTTTTAAACATTCCACTTATAAGAGCGAGTGATATGTTTCTAACACCTGATATCCTGATAGGTCTAAAAGCACTTCCCAATTCTGGGAAAACTGCGAAGTATCTGAGAGATACTGCAAGAACACTCACATCATCTTTCACAACATACCACTATTTCCTTTAAGCCCAGTCTTTCCCAGAAGAATTAAAGAATTTAGCATCCATACAGTTTAAACTCCTGACCTCCACGCGGGTCCTTCTGCTGTGAGGAACTGAAGGAGCAGGAAGCGGAGTGTCTTGACCCTATAAATCTTGTGAATATTAACCTTCGGACCCATGAAGAACTATTTATTCAGCATCGGTTTTAAGAAAACTTAAAGTACTGCTTAGAACTCTGGACTACTTAGAAACATAAACAATAAATGTTCCTTCTTAATGTCACTTTATGGATAAACACTCATTAATGTTAAGAGATGTATGGATTTAAAAAATTAATCTATTGTCTTTTCACCACTAATGCCTTTCCAAAGTCTCTCTTTGAAACCTATTTATAAGTAAGATGTATTTTTTTCAAAGTTGTTACGAGATTAATTGAACAGAACACTCCATGTTCAGCACTGAGTAAACCCACATAGTGCTAAGGATGCAGCAAAAAATCAAATTTCTTGTTTTTTCACAGACCACTGCAATTAATTATAACTGAGTCCTACATGACCCAAACTAAGCATGGACTTCCAATCTAAAACTCGAGTGAATAGTCTATTTTTTCGTCAGTGTTCATGATGAGAAGATGATAATTAATAGCATGTCTGCGATGTTTTTGAGCATGAAAGAATCAGTAACTTTAGGCAAACTGTAAAGCAAGCATTCTTTATAATAAATTAGCTGCGGGCTGGGAAAGAGAATTACCAAGCAGGCTCGCAGCAGTTCCACAAAGCAGGAGAGATGATTCACACAAGACAGACTGCCACCACTGCAAGATACAGCTATACATGTCTGTGTGGTAAAATCCATAACCCACCTTCTTCTACAGTTCCTGGGAAGAGAAGTACATAAGAAAGGAATAAGAAAGCCAGTAATTTGATGCCAGAAATCCCAAAGGCGCTAATAGGATCAAAAAAATATTGAAGTCCTAGGGCACATCCAAATCTACTCAGATGTTTAAAAGGAGTTTGGCACCAAGGTTCTTTTGCAAATCAGCCCTTGCTGAAAAATACCGCAAATAACTGGAAGGCTTTTCACTTGCTTCAAATACATACGATAACTAACTGAAACGTCACACCTCACACTTTGTACAGATCTTGGATTCTTATCTCCTGTTTAGTTTGCATTTTTATTGCCCAGGCCACACTGTGCCTATGTAGACATAATATGCACGCACACACATATACATACACATAAATATTTATATCCTTATGTATCTACATATACAAACATAGTTTCTCCAAAAACTTTACATTCTAAACTGATGATTATCCATCCTCTCTCCTAGCAGAAGAGACACAGTTAACACTGTAGACAGATTGGTATAGACTATCGTACTGGTGTAGAAGCTTTTTAAAGGGTTGCCCTATATATGGAAACTATGGTGAGCGGAAAGCTTAGCAAACATGACAATTTCCAGAACGATTGTGAAGAAATAAAACAAGTGCCTCATAAAGAGTGAGAAGCATTTGACATGCTTTTTTTGTTGTTTTGTGAAAGCAGGAAAGACGGACTTAGGTACCACTCATAGCAAAATTAGTGAAGTTTGCTCCAAGCCACATTTCCCTGCCTCTCCCTCAGCTGCCATGACACAACCTACCAGTCACACCCGTGATCCCACTGAGCCTGCTCCTTTTCCTCCGGGCTACTGGTTCTTTCAGTACTGAGTCCACATCCTCCTCAGTTAATGCACAACTATTCCGTATTTTATTTTATCCCATTCGTCGATACATAACCTCAGGCCTGATTTACAGTATAGTTTTCAAATCCAGCTCTGAAGACAGAATTATTCCTTTCTAACAAGCCTTCCTGTGGAATTGATCCCTATACTATTTGCATGCACAAGCATTAATTAGTTCTCCAACAAGCTTGTGAGGCCAATTATACCATTTCCATTTTAAATGGGCAAGACTACCACGGATGAAAAAGGTTTCATTAATTTTGGGTGCCCAGTTTGAGACAGGTGGACCTGTTTTTTCAAGGTACTCAGCACTTTTCATGTTCAAAACACAGCTTTCATGGACTTAACATGCCACTAGCATCAGATCGACAAGGCTAACTGAATTCCAACACCTCTTAAGAGCTTACTGTTGCAATTTGTAACAACAGTCTTTCATTACAGCTTGTGTGAGTATTTTTCTAGGTTCCTGAAAAAGCAAACTATAGTATAGTATGAATAATTATTACATCTAAACATTGTGCTAAGCAACAGTATTAGTCCAAAACCTTGATTTTTACGGGATTTGCCAACAAAAGTAAATTGTGTTTTGTCATATTAATAAGCAGAAAAAAACATCTTTGACAAGGTGACACTCTGAACTCGTTCTACGGACACAAGAAGTCAAGCTAGTGCCTTTATTCTTCAGCTACAAAAGGTCTTCTATTATCTGCTTTGTTTAAGAAGCATAAAAATAGATAGGTTTTGCTATGCCAGAAATTCACGGGAAACAAGGCGAGTTTAAAAAAAAATCCAATTCTGTCCCCTTTAGAAAAATTGTAATACATATTCTTAAAGGCAAAGTTGAGCAGATTTTCTATTATGTTATTTGATTTTTATACTATTTACTATTTTGGAATATAACTGCAAATAAAATTAATCAGAATATTACATCCTGTTAATGAGTTCATGAATATTTAAATTCTAGTGAAAGCCAGTGGAGGACATTTTTAAATGCATAAACAAATAAAAGCATCTACCTCTCCTGACCTAACCAGCCAACCTGCAACAACAATGATGTACCTATCTACTAGGGATGCCCTTGAAAATTTAACCAATAAACATGTCTTTTTAAATCACCTACATTTTACTGCAAAAGCCACACGAACTAACTAAAATCTAACCTATGTTAACCTTTACCGATACGATGCAGAAGTTTCTGAGTCTGTTTAGTTTTCTAAAGGTAAATGATAGCCCCACAGTTTATTTCACCCCCTCAAACAGTACAGAGTTTTCTACTACTACTTCATTTAAACCCAATTTGAAACTGAGGAGCAGTTTTCCATTTACATTGCACCAGGATGATTTCTCAACCCTCAGTGTTTAACCATTTTAACCTAACAGGACAGTTACAGAAAACCAGTTCTGAAGAGTCAAGTATCCCGGAGCCTTGGTAGGTGATAATGTGTGAAGTCTTGGGGAGAACAACAAAAACTTCCCTCACAGGACAAGCGATTGACTTGTATTTTTCCTTTGTGTGCACTTCCAGACCACTGGGTCCATGTAAAGTTTGTGATCCCCAGCAGGATTCCCAGACCTGGAGTCTTGGTGTTTAAGAGAATGTGTGGACAGCACATGCCAGCCTAACCCACAAAAGGAGGACAAAAAAGGGCAAAGGCAGAATGATGCTTTAATTCTACATCAAGCATTGAGCACCAGGAAAATAAGACTATTACTTGCTTTCTGCATCCCACACTAAGGTACAGCCAGCAAAGGATACATGGCTCTTGGGGCACAAAACGCCTATTTTTGCTACTGGGCAAGTTTCAACACAGATATTACTTTCTAGAATCAACCAAAAAGTGGTTTGACCTTTAGGTAGCTACTTTTTGCAAACACTGAGTTTTCAACTTCCATTCTAGTGTTTCCATGCTCATGAGGCTACACATGTTTTTGTGGGGACTTCTACCATAGAAATAGAAGGAAGATGAAGACTGCAGTTGACTGGTTCTGCTATTTCATTTCCCAAAACCAGACCTTCTATGTACCTCTGTGGGAAAAATACTAATTTAATATAAAGTCTTGTGATTAAGCATTTTAATGCATTTCTTAATAAGATATTTCATTCTCTTGGCAATATATTTCAAAGTGTCACAGTTTGAGCATCTAACCTGGCCCAAGTTCAGATTTAGGAGTCCATGAGAAAACCCTGTATTTATTTAATCAAACACAGAGGGATAGTGTTGGGAAACATAGGATAAACGA